CCTCATTAAAATCACCACCAATAATTGTACTTCCTATACTCTTTTCCTTTATTTCTTTTGTTACTAATTTAAAAAAAGCGTTCCTTTCATTTTCAATATTTGGTGCATATATATTTACTAAAGTAAACATTTTATCACCAATTTTCAAATTCATTAAAATGTATCGACCATGATCAAAAATACTGTGGTTAATAACTACAGCATTAAGTGATTTTTTTATAAGTATCGATACTCCTTTCTTTACTGTTTCGTTCCCCATAATTATGGAAACAATGTAATACACCATTTACCTCATTATCTGATTATTATCACATAATTCATTAGTGAAGTGTGTTTCTTGTATCATTAATATGTCAGTTTGTTGTTGTTTTAACCATTCGTATGTTCTCAGTCTCTTTCCTTTGTCTCTTAGCCCTTGTACATTAAGGGAGAGAATATGTATATATTTCTTCATCGTGTATTACCATCATTCTCTTCTGTGCCTTTCTTTGATTTTTTTGCGTCATTCAATTCTGTTGCTGAAGGCGGTCTTTTTTTTGACAGGCTTCTCGTTCTGTCTTGCCCCGGTGTTTTAGAACCTTCCTTAGCTGAGACTATAAATTGTTTGATTGAGTTTGTCTGTCCATTTCTATCTTTCCTTGATGTTCTATTCTGTTGTTTTTTCTCTGTTACAGTATTGCCAGTCTCCGCCTTATTTTCGTTGTCTCGTTGTTGATTGTCAGTTTCGTTGTTTGTCGCTGTCTCTGTAAATATCTCTGCCTCTGTCTCTGATTTCGACTCCGTCTTTGACTCAGACTCTGTCTCTGACTCATTCATGTCCTTGGAACAATCTTGTCGTTTATGTCCTCGTTCCTTACAGATGAAACATGTCCAGTCATTCTTACAATCTATCGTACTATGTTCTGTCTCTAGACATTTGTTACATTTTTGTTCTGTGTTTTTTTCTGTCTGTCTTTCCGTCTTTGGTTGTCCGTAATACCAAATGGTACTGTAGTATTTTCCGAGTCGTAGCGTTCTCGGCAGCTCTGATGTCAGTTTTTTTACAAACACTATACGATCTCCTGTGTCACAATTGGTAAGTTTATTGTTAATTCTTAGTTTTTTCCCTGTAAAGGTCTAGTATAACACATCCTTGCTCCTCAAGACCTCGCTTAATCAGCCCGTCGTCAGCTGATAACGGTACATTTGATATTTTAATTCGCGTTGTGCTAATTGGATCATGCCTCGGGCGTCGCGGATTTTCCGGTATAAGGAATACGTGTTTCCCTCTAACGGTTACGCGGGTCGAGAGTAATCTGACGCGATCAGGAATGTTGTCTGGGTATATTCGCCACACATCACCGGTACGTTGAATACCATTGAGTCGTTCTGCTGGTATTACAGCGCCCAAACTCAGTGTGGTTTAACCATTGTTTATTAAAATTGTTAATATTGTCAACTTCAAAAACATCCGTTTCTTTCAAAAACACCGGTTTAGCAGTGCCGTATCCCGGGGGGGTATAGGACCCCATCGGTCACGCTCGCGTCCATCGTGTTGTCATTACTGGCATCCAGTGTGACATCTTTGTCACGTACATCAATACCCAGTACACCTGTATTGCTCATAGCCTGTGCGTATGTGGGCTTACTGGCCGTCTGACTCACTTTCTCACCTACCGATGAGCTCACCTTACTCGCTATGTACACTAGCATGGCAATTACCCCGGCCAGGTCCGTAGGCCCTGTTGAATTTTGTGAGGTCATATTTTAAAATTGCTTCAATATTATCGTATTCAAGGTTCACAATGTTCATGTACAATATATGATACAAACCGGTAACCTACCCAAGTATCTGTCCACCACTTGTAAATAGGTAAATTTATTAAACTCTGATAAAATTCTTCTGATTCGAAGTATCCACTACTGTACCGTAGCTAGCGGCAGATAACTGTACTTCGATGTCCTACATTTACAAAATAATTTGATATTTTCATTTTTCTCGAACTCAAAAATTGTTTCCATGTTGTACATGTGCTGGGTTATATGTCCTTAGCTTCAAAATAGCATCAGTTGATACTGATTAGTCCGTACATATGTACCAAGTATACGTAGTTTGCATTGAAAAATATCGAATTGACGTTCACAACATGTTTGCACGCGTCATCATAAATAGTGTAGACGATACATTCACTGAAGCCAACTCGAATTTTCTGCAGCTATACCACATTATTTAAAATATTTTGATCTAGTTTATTCTTATTCCTACATTTCTACATTGTAGGCATTGACACATAATGGTTATCTTTGATGTAGTGTACGTATTTCATGCATTTATGTTACTTTTAAAAAGTTATCCTGAAGACATTTTAACACAGGTTCAAATACCACGAAATGTTCTTTCTGAATTTTTCAACAAACTTTAAGAAAAAAAAACTAAATTTTCATCTCGGAATATTGGCATATTTTCCGATTTCTGATTTTAAGAACATGATTTACTTTTTAAAGGCGCATTTTGCTGTTTCATTTGCTTCTTCATGTTAGAGAAAATATGCAGTAAATTATCTTACAGTAATTGTGTGTATATATGTTTTTGTAATATGATCACTATTGGCATCAGAATAATTGAATGAAAAACAGTGGAAATGCGACATGAAATAAACTTTAAAGTATAATTATGGATAGGAAGATATTTCGGCGTATAACTGACATGTGCAAGTATAAATACATGTAGTTTCAAAAGGAACACCAAATTAAGGTCAAAATGATGTTTTATAAATGTGTTCATTATTGGATCCTCGACTATTCTACAAGACCTTTTAATTCCTCTGTACTCTCCTGTATTTGAATGTTCTTCGTCTTTTAAAACTGGAGAAAAGGCGGAATCTCTTCAAGATGTACTTCGTAATGTAATCATAATCCTAATTGTATACTTACATACAATATATCACTGTTAAAATTAGCATCATAATGATAACCATAGGCCTCTGCTGACTGTCTTCATTTCAATATCACGACTGCCCAGCGTGTAACGCCATGATAACTTTTTAACAGAATGATTAACAAATCAGAATATTTCAATGAAAAATTCGTGTTCCTTGAAAAATGGAAAGGCGTAATATCAGATACAAAACAAATCTATGAAATTTGTTTGTTTAGAGTTTTGCATTATTGCAACAGCTAAGAAAAGAAAGTCAAAGGAAAGAAGTATTAAATATTCCAATATGGACAGCAGATCGATTTTCGTTATTTATATATCTTCATGCAGATGATATATAGATGAGTGATTTAATATCGCCAATATTTGATTTGCAAGTATTTCTGAGGTGCTTTGAAAACAACGAGCGAGGGCAAATCCATTGCGGGAGGGTTCAATATGGGGTTAGGGCAACTTAGTAGAGACCGGTGCAAATGCGGCCCTGGCAGTGGGGTAACTCCAGCCACTCCTGATATTTTTGGTCTTGAGCAAATACTTACAATTTTGAGGATCTTAGCAGTGCTGTTCATTGGGCAGGACATTTATACGAAAGAAATGGCGGGAACACTTTAATTTTAGATTACTAAAAGCGAGATTTTTATTGGGGGGGGGGGGGGGGGCGTTTTGATATATATATACGCCAAAGATTTATTCACTGTACTAGGAAAATATTTTCAAGATAATAAACTGACGTTTTATTATAAGATACCCGGATTTTAGAAAAACGTAAATAATATCATGAGAAGCGGAGAAGAAAACAAACAAAATTTGTAAACATATGCACACAACAACAAAGGATGGGTGATACCTCAGGTATTTATTGAATTGGGTTCGTACGTTTGTTAGGTGTTACACATTGACAGTTGACAGATAACATGTATTCACCTGTCACAGGTAGCTACAAAAGGTGATATCTGAAGGTCCTGGTTCACCATGATTAATCAGTTGTAATTTCAAAGAAAAAACAATGTAAACAAAGTAATACACATACAACAAAATTAAAACAAAAGTCTTTTAACCACTACTTGATATATTTTGAATGGCCTTCATTTCGAATGTCCATTTTTTCATTTTATTTTCTATTTTTGATTGTGGTTTCCATCAGATTGACACGTTCGGTATATGCACTGAAAATAATGATCCTGTACCTTAGAATATGTAAAGAACAGATAGCTTGACAGCAAGGATTGTCCAAATGCCTACCCCCTCCACACTCTACCCCCACCCCAACCCCAACCCCATTCCCCCTAAAGTTTTTAGATATATTATTTTTAATGCAATGTTTTTCTTTTAAATATGTGTTTTGAGTTACAAATATAATACAAAAGGGGCATAGTGTTTGAATATTAGTGCGTTTACAAAAATACTTTTTCTTTGATCTTTTGATCTTTTCATCATGTAAGATTATGGTCTCTAGAGGTACATGTAAGCGTTTAACAATGCTTCTTTGAAATCCTAATTTAATTGTTTTGTGTGTATTTCAGTACTTTTTAAGATATTTTTTTTATATTGATTTTCAGTCTAATAATGATGTTTAACCCCCAAAACATATTTTGAGGGCTACAAATCTGGGATCCCCTGAACACCAGTATACGACCGGACGTGATATAAAACGCATTAAATTGCTTCGCATTTTATATCAGTAAACACCTTACGTTGGGAAATACAGATTAGATAATCCGATTATATATCATAAAAAATCTCTGCCAAAGGAAGATCTGATTTTTTATGAAGATTTAACTCCAAGCTATCTGTTTTGTTCTTTAACGTACACATTGAAATTATGCAATTCTCCTTGGTGTAACTGAATATCATCAACACATGTGTACTCTTTTACACCTCATCACTCACTTACTCTTTATTTCACACCTGTACGGGATACAGGTCAATGTAATACAGGAACACATTGGTGGAGACCTGTTTTAGGTTATAAAACAGGATACAACAGTTTATAAGGTTGGACTGGTATTTCCAATAACTGTTTCTGGTAATTTCGAGTAGATCACATACGCACGTCACTTCTTGCAAAAGGGTCAGCAAGGGCGGAGCTTAGGCGTGCTTAGTGGTGGTATAAAACGGAGTTGATTTCTTGATAGATTCAGTTGATACATTAACAGCAAGATGTGGACAGGCAGTGTAGTGTTGACACTTGTGTGTATCGGTACGGCGTTAGGTCTGCCAGCGTTTTCTAACTACCATAACAAGAACAACCAACCTGACAAAGATGTCCCGGTGATTAACTTACCTGGAGGGAACAAAGATGTCCCGGTGATTAACTTACCTGGAGAGAACAAAGATGTATATTTTCAGCATATGAGACTCCCTCTCAGTACTTTTGTCGGTGAAAACGTACGTATTAAATTAATACATGGTGGTTTTTTTCCTGATTTCCATTAACGTTTTATCATTGTTGAATGTAGAGAAAGAAGCATAAGTTTATCGAATAATTCTCATTGTGGTCTGTATATACTCATATCTTCTTCTTTTTCCTGTGTTTACAGAAAGTTGAATATGCTTGCTCAGCTTTCCGACTTAAACCAAACGAATATATTGGTAAGTACAGTACATATATACGTTTATTAAAATTCCATGCTGACATGAACACCACGTGAAAATCCTATGAACGTATTGACAATGTACCGTTTTTTTATTTCAATTCAGAACTAATAAACTTTCGCAACTACAAAAATTAAATCCAATATTCTGTCAAAATAATTCAATGATGGCGTTTAGGTAATTTGATTTTTTTGTTGTTAAGAAATTCATACACTTTTAAACATTTACATTTCCAGTTTGACACTTCATAGGTGAAAATACACTATCTGCACAAAAAAATCATTTATTTCTTTTTCTTCAATGTTATTTCTTTTACCAATGGAAAAGTGTGTGACCATTCATATATATATTGTTTAAACAGTTGAATATCTACCACTTGGAAAACGAGATGACACATATCACATAACCATCAGTGTGTGTGACGCCCCCTACGATGATTCGCCTGTTTGGTGAGTTGGTATGCTTATTACTAAAATGATTTATCGAACTGCTCATTAATTAATTTGGGACAATTTAACACGACAAAATTCATACGATTCAGACATGTACATATGCAGCGAAAATCACATTTCCGCCGTTTTGAGATCAAAAATGTATATGAACATCGAATCACTAGAAATATATTCAAAAAACAATACTTAGCAAAAATGTATTCATTGAGCGCGTTTATAATCGTTTCTTTCATGTGTTGTATTATTGAGGTAGATGACTTTTAGCATATTCCTATAGTAAAGTGTTTAACGTGTGCTTGCATCATTTAATATTTTCATCACAGGGAATGCATGAAGCCTTCACGTGTTTGCAAAGGACAGAAAAGGGAGGTCATGTATGCCTGGACCAACGGGGCTCCGGGCTGGACCTTACCAGAAAGTAGGTTCCCTCTTTCGATTTTTTATCGTTAATAGACATAGACTGGTGTTACATTTTCTGTTGTGCATTTATAGGATGGTTGGGTCATACATAAAATATATATTGCTGGCATTGTTCTTTCATTCAAATGTTAATAGATCTTAACATAACGTTGAACATGTAGGAATACGAAGGCATTCCTTCCTGTAATCTTTGTACGATTGTCCCCGACAAAGAGAAACTAAATTCTTAACATATAAAATGTAATCTATATGAACACCACATCGTGTCTATGCTGAGTGTTTACTGTTCTGTCATAGTTGCCGGGGTGTACACTGGAGACAAACCCAAGTACATTATCCTACAAGTCCATGGACGAGACGATATCTCCAGTAAGTAATACATTTTTATTGCGAAATATATCTCTTAAAGAAACAACCTTGACACTTACTTTTAGAACAACCAATTAATTTGAAGCCTTTGTAATATACTGTATAATATAAACTAGATGTTTGCTGTGTTGACATACTGTATAATATAAACTAGATGTGTGATGTGTTGACATTGATAAGATATATTTTTTGTCACTGCTTCTGGTAACTTTCATAAAACAAATTGCTGATTTTAAAGAGAAAACTGAATATATGTGTATTTTTTATTTTATTTTATAAAACATATTTAATTACTCAGGAATATACATTTTTCGTGGGTTGTCTGGGGATGAGCTGCCCAAGCTACGACTCACAATACATTTTTTCCTCACATTCCTAATTAATATATGTGTGTAAATATATGTATACAAGCATATGCGTTTAAGAGTCAAATTCTTCTCTGTAATAACACATTGTCTGTGTTCGTCGACTTTCACCGGACAATTTGGTAGCGTAGGATTGAGTTAAAGATATCCTTGTTCAGAAAAAACTTTCATTTGCATATAAACCGATTGTTTGTCTTTCAGATGAACGAGCGGCAGACTTCGCACATTTACGGTTGAAAATAAAAACCACAAGGTATTTATTTTGTATGATGTTATGACCTAAGACAATTTATATATCACCAATGATATTTCAATAAATTATATATTAATTCCCTTTGTCGTTAATTTGGTTATAATTATGTTTCATAAACGATCGTGAATTCATATGACCCATTATCACTTCAAAACTTTGTTGACAGGCAATTGTTTTGTTTGAAGAGTCACATTATATAACAACATCAATAGTTTGTTTGGTACTTTTCTTAAAAAAACTTCCGAGTATAAAGCTGGTCACTATAAACAGAGCATAACTTTTTTTAACGAATTTGCACATATAAATACAAAGACAGTTGAGAAATTTGATATGTAATCCTGAAATATAAATCTAATGTACAATGTTTTATCTTTTTAACAGACCACCGCTAGATGCTGCTATTGGTATATACTCTGTCGGTGGCTTTGTCCCTGCTCATGTGGAGAGTGAGTAGAATTTCCAATGAATTACAATACTACGTGTCACCGGACATGTGGGTATTATATAAATCATTATCAATACAAGTACAGACAATTCTAACATTATTTTGATCAGATTTAAGTTCTTCTTCTTATAATCGCAGTGAATGCATATTAGGTATTCAGTTATTGGAAATATAAATCATTGAAGAATTTGTTTGTTTTATATTCATGAAGCTAGAGTTTATAAGTATACTATTGATAGTATATATGCAATACAAGTGCAATTCCTTTGCAACAATCAGTCTGGAGGGAACCGTCTGACTAAATATATTTTACCCTCAGATTTCACTGCTGATGTTGCGTGTGAATGGAACATGACCAAGCCCTCACCTATTTTGTCATATGGTTTACATACACACAGCAGAGGTTAGTATAATTACGTATTGACATGTGACCTGATAATGATCAAACAACATCTTTAATTAATGGAAAGATAAACCTTATTCAAAATCAGGGATGAAGTGATTAACACAAAATGATTTTGATACTTTTCGAAAATCTCGAATAATAGCTTATGAGTAAACAATTTATTTTTTGAGGCATGCGATAGGTAGGATTACAGTACATTTCGCCACAAATGCAAATAACCTAAATAATATGCAAGTCCGTCTATTTGTGTTTGTTTTCTATGATATCATATATTTTATTTTCTAGGTATAGCACAATCGGGCTACATTGTTAGGAACGGCGAGTGGATTGAGATTGGACGTGGTGATCCATTGTACCCTCTGGTGAGTTCAATTATAATAATAATTATTATTATTATTCGAGTTTATTATATACCGCTTTATCACAACCTAGCTCGTAGGTCGTCTCAACAATGTTCACAAGTTATTATCCGTGGTTATAAGGGCCTTTGTAACCAGTCAATATCTTTCTCAACTCCCTGGGGAGCATACAGCCGGTGCTGCCATTTTGACGCTTACAGCTAGCATTCACTAAATCTAGTACTTCCAATCCACGTACTCATTTACAGCTGATTAGACTGGAACAAGCGGAGTAAAGTATCTTGCTCAAAGATACAACGCTGTGCCGTTCCGTTACTCGAACCCGCAACCCTTCGGTCACGCACCAGGCGTCATACCGCTAGACTACCGTGCCTCCAATGTTTAATGTTTTAGAATTAAAATGTTTCTTTGACGTCATGTGTTTTTCACTGTATAACGTATATTTTCAATACCGGTTGATATTGCCCAGTGTCACCCCGAAGATATCAAAATTATTTTATGCAAAGTCCTCTACTTTTTTATATTTTCATACCAGTAACAAAACAAAACAAATTGAAACCAACATGGTATTAGTTATTTACATTCTACTATTTACAAGAACCTTTATAAGTTGGACAAATTATTAAGTCTATGTAAAAAAGCATGGCGCATAAAACGCTCCTTGTATCTTGTTTGAATATTTATATAATATTTTGCACTGTCACTCTTTGAGGCATTTTCCATTTAATGATGTCTCCCTCCTTCAGTAGTTTAATTATGAAATGTTTGTTTCTTGACATACTTACATATCGTAAAACATAGCATACAATTGAGAAGAGTTTTTACTCTATGGTGTTTCCTTTGGGGACATAGCTCGTTTTTCACCGATAGACGTATCGTTACTTCAGATTTTAAAAAAACACCGATTTGAATAAACTCGAAATAATAAAAAAAAAACTGTTGCTCAAAGTATGCCCGTCCTCAATACTTTATCTGTGAAACAGACGTTTCTTTTTTATCAGTCACATCGCTATTCCAATTCCTTTCCTATCTCTGGACGAGCCTCCACGTTTTGTTATAATGTAACCTTGTAATAAAAAGACCCATTAAAAAGCAGTTTGAAGACAGAGAGAACAATCAAACGAAATATTTAATGTATCACCCGTTCACACGTAGCACCATGTATCTCCCGTCCACCAGTAGCACTTATGTGTAAGCTTTTCAGCTATTTTATTTTTCACAGCTTCAACGGTTTTTTCATGAATATTACAGGTATTGTTTGACGTCACAGATAGAAACATGTGGCTTCAACCAGGAGATATAATCGTAAGTTGTGATTTATATCAAATTATTGAATGATTAAGAATAAAAAAAAATAATATATCTATTTTCATATAATTTCTTTTATAATTGAAATCATGGGTTTTTACGTTTTTTCAATGTATATATCTTACGTCAAATAAAGCTTAAATAGTGTCATTTTATTAACAAGACATATCAACAATATATTTTAACTATATCAATTAATTACCTGTTTCAGGCATCGAGATGCACGTATCGTAATACAGGAGACTCACAAATACCCATGGGGTAAGTGTTCATGACGAATTTACCTGGCACATTTGTTAAAAATTATTGAAACTCAAAACTAAAATTCTATGAATGTAGGTGCAAAATTATTATTAAACATTACGAAAATCATAAATGTACATCATTTTTTTTTTAAACCCTAAAATATCTATAATAAATTTTGATTTACTCATTTTGTCAATTCGCAGATTTTAACAACCGTCAAAAATATCCTCGAATATATTTTAATAGATATTTTTTTAAATTCTCACATATCTACTCTCACAGACAACAATAGTTTATATATACCTTTAAAAAAATGCCTTAAACTCAATATTTGTCATATCCGTTACTTACATCAAACATTCCGTCTGTATAGGTTCACTCACTTGAAGGAGATGTGCAACTTATTCCTGCATTATGGCGTACTCCACGACAGTCTTGATCAGACAAGGTCCTTGTCTTGCAGTGCCAGCGCACAGGAGTCTGCATGGAAAGTATTCGACAACATTCCAGCCGACGCTAGCGACCCTAGCGGCGACACGGACCAAGCTCGATACGTCAAACAGTATCATCTTACTCACAACTACTAAACACTAGAAAGAAATCCGTCACACTGTTCTTATAAAGATCACTTATTTAATATGTCTCGGGTAAATTTTCGCTACATTGCTGTATAAATATTCCTGACAATAAACAACGACACCTACCTACCTTTCTATTCAGGAGTGGGAATGATATAGCCAACACCTCTGCATTGATAGGAGATCACACTGCAGGAAAATACTACGAGCCAGTCATTGGGACTTTTCCCTTGTTACTTCGTGTCTGTTCTTCATTGTGATAAGCCTTTTTATAGTATTGTATATTTTAAAACTAAATATAACATGTATATTGATTAAATTGAATTCCTGGCAAATTTACTTCAATGTGTTTCATACCATATGTATTAGCATGGCTGACAGAGGAATACTGGAAATGTTTACTCTGTTCTAGCACATCGCTTTAAATCCGGGTTTTTATTGACATCCATGTAGTATGTCCTTTATGTTGATTTTCTTCGGTTACTGTTGTCCGCCAGTATCGATGTTGATATTACAATCTGCCTCTTATTTGTACTGACGCTGTGATATAGAGGTAGCAGGCAGTGACAATTCTTTGTCATATTTATTTTACATGAATTTGTCAATAAAACAATTTCAAAGGTTACTTAAGCAACTGATTTTATTTTATTTTAAAAGTTATCAACTTGATTAAGATGGACGTAATAAACAAAAGCACCTATAGTTGTGGAGTTTCTTTCTAACATCATTGATTATGGCATTCTCGCTTTATTAAAGAGTTAAACGAAGTGTGTGTGAGGTGTGATATTTTGCTAATTAACATTAACAAATCACACAGCTTATAACACTGTACTTTACCCAAATTTTACCCTCAAATAATCCATTTTGTTCATCAGTTGTGATCGTTGGTAAAACAAACGACTTGTGTAAAAATTAGGACTCCATTATCGTTCGTCATCAACGATAATTTTATCGATGGAGGACAAATGTCAATCTCCATATTTTATTGTTTTATATCTTAACCAATCAAAGTGACCGAAAATGTTGTGTTAAACGTTATTGTTTGCTTAGTGAAGATATTTCTGCTGTTTTATGGATGGCCTGGTGTTGATTAAAATGGGGAATTGTGGTAGAAATATCTTCGTAATTTTACATTGTTCTTTAAAATAACATAGACACAGTGTTTGATGTTGTTAGATGTGATCTACTTCAGTGAATTACCTCTTCTTTATTTGACAATCCATTTTTATTTGCAAGAATCCAAATAAAGATTAATATTTTTCTTTAAATTTGATCATTAAAACACCTTTCTTAAAAACATAATTTTGTTATTATTCTGTATAAATTTATGCAAATAATAGATTTTATTTGAGGTAAATCATTATATAGCCCTGTTATCTGTATAGTAAAACAGTACGCTTTTACTAATTAATATGTAATGTTAGGCCTCAAACAAGTAATGCTGGAGTGAGTATTGTTTCCCGATAAATGTAAAACTTCCACTAAAAGTTTAAACAAATAGAATAACAACATACGCAAAAACATGCAAAACAACCCGGATGAGAAATCATGATGCCTCCCTTTAAACCAGGAGGATCTGTTCCCTGGACTCCTAGAACGAATCTTTAAGTATGGCCAAAACCAAAATATGAGTACAGTAGGTTGCTATCATTTGGTGAGAACGACATAATATATCTAACTATTGTAATGGGCGTGCAATCATATACTTGTATTTCTCATGTTGTACTTATCTCATCATACCAATTAATGTGATGATATAGATATACCAACCAATGTGTCGTTATACATACAAGTCAATGTTACAATATAGATATACCAACCAATGTGTCGTAATACATTCAAGTCAATGTTACAATATAGATATACCAATCAATGTGACTGTACCTATATACCAACCAATGTGACATTACAGATTTACCAAACAATGTGACGTTACAGATATACGAAACAATATGACATTATAGACTTACCAAACAATGTGACGTTATAGATTTACAGATGAATGTGACATTAAAGATATATCAGTCAGTGTGTGGTTATAATTATACAGATCAATGTTCCGATACAGATATACGAATCAATGTGATGTTGTCAATATACAGATCAATGTTACGTTATAGATACACTAATAAATGTGACGTCATAGACATACAAATCAATGAGTCGTTATATAATTTTCAATCAATGTGTCGTTATACATATACAGATCAATGTGATATTAAAGATATTCTAATTAATGTAAAGTTATAGATATATCAGTTTATTAATTATTTGAATTAATGTGTCATTATGATATACCAATTAATGTGACGTTATAGATAAACCAAATAACGTGACGTTATAGAAATACCAATAAAAGTGACGTTGTAGATAAACCAATAAATGTGACGTTATAGATATACCTAACAATGTGACGTTATAGACATACCTAACAATGTGACGCTATAGATATACCTAACAATGTGACGTTATAAATATACCTAACAACGTAACTTTATAGATATTCCAATCAATGTGACGTGATATATACACCAGCAAATGTGACTTTATAGATATACCAATACATGGATGGTTTAAGAGATACTGATTAATGTGAAGTTAAAAATATATCAAACAATGTGACGTTATAGATATATCAAACAATGTGACGTTATAGATATACCTAACAATGTGACGTTATAGATATACCTAACAATGTAACGCTATAGATATACCAACAGTGTGACGTTATAGATATACCAAACAATGTGACGTTATAGACATACCTAACAATGTGACGCTATAGATATACCAAACAATGTGACGTTATAGATATACCTAACAATGTGACGTTATAGATATACCAAACAATGCGACGTTACAGATATACCAAACAATGTGACGTTATAGATATATCGATCAATGTGACGTCAAAGATATACTGATAAAGGTGACGTTATATCTATATATCATTGTTACGTTAATATAAACCAATCAATGTGACGTTATAGATATAGATAATTGATATGATATATATATAAATCATTGTTACGTTATAGAAACACCAATCAATGTGACGTTATATATATACCAATTAATGTGACGTCAAAGATATACTGATCAATGTGACTTTTTAGATATAAACCATTGTTACGTTATAGATACACCAATCAATGTGACGTTATAGATATAAATAATTGATACGTTATAGACCTACAGTGTATCGATCAATGTGTCTGAATAGCTACATCATTAAGATAATTAAGTGAGAATCTATAGTGTAATCTTTCATAAGAGCGTGGCGAAGCTCGTTAACGATAACACATGTGTACGTTAAAAGGTAAAATCAAAATGAACAGAATGACTGACCATGCTGTAGGTTACACTGAAACCGAATTGTCCGAGAAACAGGAAACCATACTCCTATGCGGTAAGTATACTTTGAACCGCGTTAGAAAAGACAGTAATAAAAAAAATGCTTTAAAATCTTTAAAATCCAAAACTGATAGCAACTATTTTCCTTTGAAGAATTAGAGAAAATTATGTAGCAGAGCTTAGGGTTTTGTTAGTCTGACGTATAGTCGCAAGGGCGAGAGGCAACACTATCTCTCGTTGCTAAGGGAAATTATACAACAAAGGAATGAGGAGTTAATCGTTGTATAATTATACTATCTATTCAATTTTAATAAAATAAACACATGGAGTGTTTTAAGTTCATAACATTATATACATACAGGCATGAAAACTTCGTTCAGATCTAATTTTATTATGATGTCAAAATGTACGACACGTAAAAAGATGCCTTCCTCATGATCAGTTACGTCCTGAACGACAAACAAAAATACAAGAAAACCCTGCAGACGTCCATTAAATCCTCTGTGATCTGGAGCGTCGGGACTAGTGTTTTTGTGTAGGTGCCAAAGTTAAAATAGTGATAACGCAGGATAGTTTCTGAAGATGCATTTTGTCAAAAAGCCGTTTATGTTAAGATTTCTTCAAAAAGACCAACTCAAATTGAGCAACTGAAGACGTTAAGCAACTAAAGGCTAGAACTTATGGAAATTACAATTAGTTCGACTTTTGCTAAACATTCAGTCATCCTCGATATCCAGTGGCTACGCTCACTTTCGCTCTCTACAACCCTGGCATATGTCAAAGCAAAATTGAAGGCACGAAGATAGTTGTTTGATTGGTGTCAGGTAAAAAACAACTGACCACTCACTAGGCTGATACTTGTCCCTTGTCAATTGTTACCGTTACGCGACCGCGAGATTCTGTTGATGTACATCAGATGAACAAACTGGTCTTCTCGTCTTATCTACAAGGTGGTGCAAATTGAGCCTTCGGTTTTGCTATGTCATATTCCAGGGGTGAAGAGAGCAAAAGTGAGCTTAACCCCTGGATATCGAGGATGACATTCAGTTTCAGACACCTCTAAAAGTTTGAAATGACAATCGGTTCGATGGATCAACAATGTAATTTTGACAGGGTGTTTTTCGACATATCCATAATTATGATAAGGATTAAAATGTTCACACTGATAAAAATAAAAAGTGTGCTTCATTTTAAAAGGATTATACGAGTTTTCATGATTGCCAATAACCAGCACTCGCTTTTATATCCAGTCGACGTACGGATGGCGGATGCAGTGGTTGGCTGTTATAAATTAATCACAAAAGTCACCTTTGTTGATATCAAAAGTTTAAATAAATGAATATCCTCAAATGCATCTTGAAATATTATAATGAAAAGTTCCATTTACACAACCAATATAAGATTGTTCATGTGACGCCACAAAAACAATCTTATTAGTTGTGTAAAAAGAACTTTTCATAATCCATATTTATCAACATGACGAAAAGGTTAAGAATTACGGAATTGTTTAGTATCATCTTGATCTCATTTTAAAGATGTGCAGTTAAACGAAAACAAAAACAAAAACAAAACAACAAAACAAACTTACAAACAGAAACAAAAACGTTCACACAAACGAAAGTGTCAAAAATGTCTAAGGTTTCCTTAGTAGGCGATGTTTTTTAGCGTTAATCTCAAAATCTATGGAACCTAAATTATTTCTGACATCAATTACGAAGCTTTTGCTAAATTACATCATCTATACGAATGCTTGGGGAATTAATGTAGACAAAAACTATGACCAACATCCCTAATTTGTCTGGATTTTCATCTGTGTCAGAGGGACCAATATACAATAAAAAAAATAGCAATATTATTGGTTTATTTCTATAAAAACGTACTCTCGCAAGTAAGTACAAATAAAAAACATACATAAATACAAACATTATAATGTTCTATTCACTTGGTCCATGGTCGATTTGCAAATCCTAAAAAATATCGATACTTTGCCGTAATAACGTTTATAAACCACTTGGCCACCGCGGCCGCTTTAAGACAGATACCACAATGTAATCATATATCTGATGAAAGATGATACTTAACAACGATATAACTTTATGACAGATTGGTTTGTCATCCAAACTTGTTTTACGTCCTATTAACAGTTATGGTCATGTAAGGACGTGCCAGGTTTAGATGGGGGAGGAAATCCAGAGTTCCCGGAAAAAACTCACCGACTTCATGTATGACCAGTACCTGGCGACTGCCCCACGTAGGTATCGAACCCGCGACAGTCG